GCTCTCCATATCTTTCTTCGAACACCGAAAGTCGCTCTCCATATCTTTCTTCGAACACTGAAAGTCGCTCTCCATATCTTTCTTCGAACACCGAAAGTCGCTCTCCATATCTTTCTCCGAACACTGAAAGTCGCTCTCCATATCTTTCTTCGAACACCGAAAGTCGCTCTCCATATCTTTCTTCGAACACTGAAAGTCGCTCTCCATATCTTTCTTCGAACACTGAAAGTCGCTCTCCATATCTTTCTTCGAACACTGAAAGTCGCTCTCCATATCTTTCTTCGAACACTGAAAGTCGCTCCATTTTAACACAGCTCGAAATAATTCGACTTCAACGATATTCAAGTCGTTACGTCTCAGTAAACTCGCCAGTGTCTTTTGGCTGATGTTATTGAAATCTGTTGACGCAACAGCTTGCTTCGTGTTTGATTCTATAAATTTCCAACAACTCATCTCTAATTTGCTCTCGTCAAAATGCGTTGCTTGTTCCAAAATGCTCATAACGTTCTCGGCATTTATACTACTTGCCAAATTATTCACACACTTCTCCGTTAGTGAAGGCACGATGTATTTCTTAGAAAGATACATGACGGATATAGCATTGTCTGTTGTCAAATTACATTCATCTGTGTAGAGGAATCTCAAGAATTCCTCCAGACTTTTCTCATCTGTATCGCTGAGATGAACAATTGAATTCTTCTCTGCCAAGTCGCCATAAAACATCGCACGAAATACGGCACTACTTGTGCCCAATACATATTTATGGGCGTACAATTTCTTGCCTGAACCTTCGCAAGTAAAACTGATATCACTCATGTCTGAATTGTTGAACATATGACGGTTTCTTTCTGAGACGCTTTTCTTTGTTGATTGCCAGTCTACGGACTCAGCTGATTGCTTTTCTATATCGGACTGAGGTGGCATTGGTTTCGATGTTAGATTGCTGTTGTATTGATTTGGTTCCATGCAGGAGTCCACGTCGTTTTCACTGAAGTTGTATTGAGCAAATGCCATTTTAGAAAGGATAAATTTATAAAAAATCGAAGTGAATTGTATGTGATTTGTACGTGTTTCGTCGCGCAACGAACAGATGCAGCCAAGACAAAGCAGGAAGTATAAAAAGTTGAAAGCGAAACATGTAATTTGATAGTATAATAAGCAAAATTCGTGGGGGTCCAGCGTTGACTTTGACCTTCGTGGAAAATGTTTCGATAGCCCACTCAACCTAATCATCGGAAAACATGCACTTCTCGATATACAATGGACCGTACTACGTATGTACACATGAGCTTGCGCCTTGCACTTATAGCTCTGGTTGTTCGACAGCCAATAAGCTTAACCATAGGTTAGCCTAAAATTCAAAGCAAACTTCCCCAGTTTCGTTATAAATTTGGAAATATTTATTTACAAATCTGGTCTGTAATCAGTAGGAGTTTTCTTCTCTGAAGTTTTGAAACAAACAGACGTGCAGAAATACATAAATTGAAACAGGGTTAGCGCTAATCCAGCTTTGAACAACCGGCCCAGATTGTTAGAGAGTCGTAATATCAACGACCGCTGACATCGGAATCGCAGGTTCGATTCCTGATAGAGCCTATAGTTGCATCTAACGAAACTGTTCCTGCTTAAGTCTAAATCAATGCACAAAAATTTACATTCGAGATTTGCATCAGCAAAATCCTTCAAAAGACAAGACTATCGCCTGTATTCTAAAAGCTCATTCACACTCAATGAGTAGAGGTTCAATCTGAGCTTCCCTTGAGTGTCACTGCTGTTTTTGAATAGCTGGAGGGTTACGCATGTATTCTAAAAGCTCACTCACACTCAATGAGTAGAGGTTCAATCTGAGCTTCCCTTGAGTGTCACTGCTGTTTTTGAATAGCTGGAAGGTTACGCATGTATTCTAAAAGCTCACTCACACTCAATGAGTAGAGGTTCAATCTGAGCTTCCCTTGAGTGTCACTGCTGTTTTTGAATAGCTGGAAGGTTACGCATGTATTCTAAAAGCTCACTCACACTCAATGAGTAGAGGTTCAATCTGAGCTTCCCTTGAGTGTCACTGCTGTTTTTGAATAGCTGGAAGGTTACGCATGTATTCTAAAAGCTCACTCACACTCAATGAGTAGAGGTTCAATCTGAGCTTCCCTTGAGTGTCACTGCTGTTTTTGAATAGCTGGAAGGTTACGCATGTATTCTAAAAGCTCACTCACACTCAATGAGTAGAGGTTCAATCTGAGCTTCCCTTGAGTGTCACTGCTGTTTTTGAATAGCTGGAAGGTTACGCATGTATTCTAAAAGCTCACTCACACTCAATGAGTAGAGGTTCAATCTGAGCTTCCCTTGAGTGTCACTGCTGTTTTTGAATAGCTGGAAGGTTACGCATGTATTCTAAAAGCTCACTCACACTCAATGAGTAGAGGTTCAATCTGAGCTTCCCTTGAGTGTCA